TGCCTAAGCGGAGCTCTGGAGAGCGGAGGCTTCAGCAGAATGACTCTCTTAAACGAGAGGAAACCTAACAACACTCAATCCTAGTTTAGGAGCTCTTAAGAGTGTGGGTCTCAGCATAACGACTCTCTAAACCGAGAGGAGACCTAGCTACACTCAACGCCAGAGGCAGTTAGTGAGGCTCAAAATAAAGAGCTCACAACTCATATTACTGCCAAAGACGGAGCTCTGAAGAGCGGAGGCTTCAGCAGGATGACCCTCTTAAACGACAGAAAGCCTAACAACACTCAGCCCTATTAGAGAAACTCTTAAGAGTGGAGGCTTCAGCACAACGACTCTCTAGAACGAGAGGAGCCCTGACTGCACTCAGCGCTAGGGACAGTTAGGGAGGCTCACGATAGAGCCTACATACTTATAGTACTGTCTAAGCGGAGCTCTAGGGAGCGGAGTACACTGCGTAACGACTCAAAAAGCTAGATTACTGAGCTAGGAGTACTAACCATGCTCCTAAGTGTGAAACAGAGCTCTAGGGAGCAAGCACAAGAGCCTAACAGCCACAGAGCTCTGTTGAGAGAACACTAGGAACTGTGATCTCAGCATAGCGACCCTCAAAGGGAGGGGAGCTACCAGGCTCAAGAACAGCTGGTCAGGGAGGCTCACAGAGAGCCTCACAACCTGAAATAACTGCAACAAAAAAAAACTAGGGAGCAGAGTGCTCAGTATAGCAGAAACCATGCTCAACCTAAATACACGTACCTGGGCTGAGAGAATGAGGAGGCTCAGAGAAGGCTCAAACAAGGGCCTAACAACTCAAAAAACTTGTCAGGAGCCTCCTTCCGTCCTCGTCTTCATTGACGAAATTAACACTGGTTCTCAGGAAGTAGCCGGTCGAGCCGGTTCACAAAATCGAACTGAATCAAGCTTTAGTTCCGGGTTGAAGATGCAAGATGCACAGCTGAAGTAGCACGTCCGACTCAAACAGTACCGAATGAGCCGGTTCAACCTACTGTGGAAGTTTGTTGAGGATTACTGAGGATTCTGATGAATGAGTTGACGATATACTGTGCAGCTTGAGGCACTTACTGGAAATATGCTTATTAGTATGGCAAGCCGTTTCTAATTCTTGATATCAGGAATTACATTTCAACTAGTAAAAATTATACTTCTTGATATCTGTAATTGTATTTTCACTAGTTAAATGTTGCCATAGGCTGCCAGTCAAATTTAATTGTTGATATCAAGAATTAATTTCTTACTAGTAAAAATTCCAATTTAACATATCAGAAATACAATTCTTACTAATAAAATCCTTTATTTTTGATATCAGTAATCATATGGTTACTAGTACAGATGTCTATTCTTGATATCAACAATTTAATTGCCACTAGTGACAATGTTAATTTCTGATATCATGAATGTGATTGTTACTAGTAAGAAAGCCATTTTAGATATCAGAAATTATATTGATATCAGAAATGCATTTTCAGATATCAGAAATAACAAATGTAACACGTTGAAATATATTTACTGATATCAAGAATTAACAAGTAATTATTGATATCAACAAAGGCAGTTGTTATCTGAAATTGCCCTTGCAACTAGTGAAAATAGAATTACTGATATCTTAACATTTTAACTAGTGAAAATACTTTTACAGATATCTAGAAATGCCATTTTTACAGGTAAGAATAGCTATGGTAATGAGATAATGAATCTTAATGAGATTTGGTTTTCCCACAATTCTCGTTTTAGCGTCAGCATTGGCCAAAGATGGCGGAAGAACATTCATGCACAGAAACGGCTCCTCCTTTATTTATTTGTTTTGTCAATGAAACATGAAAATTATATTATGGCTGGATAAATTATTTTATTTTTAGTTAATTGTTTAAAAAAAAGTAATTTTATCCTGTTTCTTTTTATTGGCCACCAAGTCCTTCTGATAATTAAAGGAAAAATTAACAAGGCATTCATTTAGCTAGAACATAAAACATAAATTCATGTAGTTTTTTCATATGTTTGTTTTGGGTTTCATTACACTTTCTTCTAATACATCAAATAAAAAATACAACCAAAATGAAAAATAAAACAGATAATAATGCGTCATACAAAGTTTAAACGTTTTACTGGACTTTTTTTTATTTTTATATTGTTGTATTTAGGCTACATGAATGAGTCGTCACATTGCGTGCCCAAATTCGTGCTGGCGTTTCTCTTTGTTTAAAGGCAGGTGCGGGGTTTTTTTACTGTACATTTTGATATATTATTACACCGGCACGTTTGAGGAGCCGACATGTTTGTACTCTCTGCCAAATTCGGCTCAGATTTTCTTGACCATTGGGACCAAACGTGATACACACTGTAATGTCCTAATACTTGCATTATTTTTATATAACATGTTGTCCAGTTCTTGACGTATCAGTGGACAAGATGAATGATAAAGTCTATTGAACCTCTTTCTCATGTCTGTCTCAACCATTTCAATGTTACGTTAAATATGACACTGCACTGATACACTCTTCTGAAAGTTAAGGCATGAATATGCAACAGTCTCTCAATTGTTCGGAGAATGGACAACGATTTAATAAGAATTATCTAATCTTGCCCATCTGGTTCATTGCTTATTATTATTATTATTATTAGGCTATTTTATATGATTATTATTATAATAATTCTTATTATGCTATTTTATTAGGCTATATTGTTGTTGTTGTTGTTTTACTTTGTAACTATAAATGTGTTTACTTAAGACCTAACAACAATTGTATCATTAAATAATTAATGTGTGTACACAGTAACGATATCACAGCGCGTGAATACCACATTGAGATCTCACTCGTGCCATCTTGCCCTTAAAAGCGAGAATGATAAACTTTCATGAGGAAGCAGCACTGGTCTGATCGTTCAGATAGCTGATTATAGTTTTAGGGGGCTGAGACGACAAATAGGGTGGCTGAAGCCCACCTAAAAGGGTCTAGAACCGTCCCTGTAGTACAGCACTATATATTTAATCATGTCTGGAAACTTGACAAGTGCGTTTTATTTGGGTAAATGATCTATGAGCATTTCACATATTTCTATGCACACGAATAATATGAAACTACTGTCGCTACACTATGGGTATACACATTTATTGCATTTATTTTCAATAAAACTGAAAACGGCTTATAAGATTCCTTATCCTGTGGCTCCCTCTAGTGGATAAAATTTATATAACAGCCTTCATCTTCCAGTTGAAATGGCTGATAGTTTAGAATTTGATTTTGGCAGGGGCTATTTGAATACAATGAATTCTATTTACACTAAGTGAAAATAGCATATTTTCTTAGCAATAGATTCTATTTACACTATTTAATAATAGGAGTATTTTCTTGCAGTAATAGTAGTTTGATGCTTTTCATACTTCTTAGTGCAAATAGTGGCCGATATCTGCACCTCATTATTGTAGTAGGCTGCATTATAAAACAGTATACAATAATAACGTATTGAGTGTAAATTATAATTTTGATTTAATCACAATCCCACAACCTGTAGAGAACAATGACACACTCTTCACTCTCTCAGATCAGATCAACAGGTACAAATCACAATGCTAAACAGCTAGTAAATATGTCTACATTTCCATTAGAATTTTATCACAGTTGTGAAAATGATAAAGAAATTCAAAAAGCTTTCAATACATGTGCTTCAAAAACCTCTATTTATATTAGAAGTTTAATAATAACAGAGGCACAGAGGAAAGATGATCTTCATTAGTCATGTTTGTTAATCACTGTATGATAAACTGATAGTGTGGTAGAGAATGAAACAAAATCGCCTTTAATAATAGTAGTAGTAGTAAAAATAATAATAATGATAAAAACGTGCTGATTTTGATTTCAGAACAAGTACAAAAATAAGTAAAAAGAGCAGCCAGGAAAGGAGTATTAATCCTAAAATCCTATAAAATTAAGTACCAGAAGCAACTAAACCTCCAGTAAACAGCTGCTGGGTCAAAAACAGGAGAAACAGGTCAGATTTTATATTATAATTAGGTAATAATTGTTTAAATGTAATTAATTACATAATGTGCCAATTAATTAATCACAAATTAATCACACATCAAATTTGGCTGAGAAATTACCCCAAAAGATCCTTTAAAGTCATTATTGTGTCAAATAAGACCCTACAAACAGTGAACGGCTCGAACATTTAGCTCACTGCAGTTTTAAAGCCCTCATTATCTGTTTGGTTTTCATCCGTTTTTGTCATTAAATTAAATTATATGATGTAATATTGTCACATGCCTTATTCATGCTTCATCTTCAGTTATCAGGATCATTTTTTATGCTGAGATATAGTAAGTCCACTTAACATTTTAAAAGCTGATTTTCTAAATTGTAGTTCTAAAATGTACATAAAGGGTTTAGGTCTTACAGAAGACAATAACATGTGACTATGAGAGAGATGATCTTACCACAGTTTCTCCAGTTTACATCGAGGATCCTCCAGTACAACAGAGAGAAGCTTCACTCCTGAATCTCTGATTGCTTTATTAATCAGATCCAGATCTCTCAGCTGTGAGGGGTTTGATCTCAGAACTGAAGTCAGAGCAGCACAATCTTTATCTGTGACGCCACAATCACTCAAACTGTAGAGAGATGAAAACACTTATTAAACTAAAACTTAAATAAAAAAAGGTGAAAAAAGACAAGTGGGACATGATATGGACTCACGATAGACAGAGCAAACATTCATTTTATTAATAATAAAAAAGGCAATAATCAAATTTGCAATAAATAGCTTTACCGTGGATCAAATCCACATCATTTAAGTACTAACTCATTTATAACATTAAACTTGTTGGTTTCAAACTAATCCACTTTAAGACATTGACTGGCATGTGCTTTAGAGTCCAGCTTGTCTCTAAAAAACTGCTAAATACTAGAAATGAATCAATTTCAGAAATTTAAAATAATAATAATCAGGGAAGATTTATAATTTATAATCCTGTATATGCACGCCTTTTCTCTGACCCCCCCCGTTATTCTCGCATTATAGAGCGAAGAACATAAGAGATTATCTTTCGGGCACTTTTGCGGGTAACAAGAAAAGAGATCGTATTGGTAATGAAGTAGTATTCTCGCATTATAGAGCGAAGAACTTGTTGTTATACATAATTAATAATAGCACTTTTGCGGGTAACAAGAAAAGAGATCGTGGCTTTTATGCCTGTCGTAAATGTGCCTCTTATAAATATATACGGAGAAAACAGGTGTCTTTCAAGAGTTGCGTGACAGATAGAGTGTATTGTATGAGACAGTTTACCACTTGTGCATCCACTAATGTAATTTATCTGTTGACTTGTGTGTGTCATAAACAGTATGTGGGAAAAACTAGTAGATCGATCAGAACGCGTATTATCGAACATATGAGCTCCATTAGAAGAAAGGACATAAAATCTCCGGTAGCTCGTCATTTCAATGAAGCGGCACATTCCATAGCGGACTTGGATTTTACGGTAATAGAACATATACCACAGTTTCGAAGGGGTGGTGACATGGAACGCCGTCTTTTACAAAGAGAATGCAAATGGAAATTTTTGATTTGAAATCTTTATATTCCCTTGGTATGAATGAGGAATTGTTTTTGAATTGTTTTTTGTGATATATGTATACAATAAACATTTATAAGATCTATGGGTGAAATTCTGTATGAAACATTTTTTGCATTTTACATTAATAATGTTGTATTAAGGTATTTTTGCATTGAGGAATTTTTTACCATTAAAATATATTTATAGGAATGTCTTAAGGTAAAATTGGATATATTGTATGGTGTTTTTGGGCCTGCGTGCATATTATGATGTCCATGGTGAATATTGATGTTATAATGGGTGCAGGTGTGCACTAATCAATGTGGCACTGAGGAAGAGCTTTTGTCTCGAAAACGTTTTGCACTTTGCACTTTTTTACGGCCTCTGATTAAGCATTATAATAAAGATTTTTTGAGGAGGTTTTGCCCTGCATTTGACCGTGTGCGGATTGTTTTTTCTGCTGGCAAGATGTATAATGTTGTCATTAAAGTATATGTTTCAAGTATGCTTCCATATTGCTCCATTAACTGATACTATTATTATGAGATTTTGCTTTTCTTTTCTTTAACAGTGAAGTGATTGTTCTCAGTGATACTTACTGAACTTTAATCACAGGCAGCAGATACTGAAGAACATTCAGTTTTTCAGCTTTATTGTTTTCTCCAACAAATTCATTAATATCAAATGCGTCCAGTTTATTCTCTGATGTCAGCAACACAAAAGCTACAGCTGACCACTGAGATGAAGAGAGTTTGCTTTCCTTTATTGTTCCAGATTTCAGATACTGTTGTATTTCCTCCACTAGTGAACGATCACCCAGTTCATTCAGACAGTGGAACAGATTGATGGATTTCTCTGGAGAGTCAATGGTCCTGATCTTCATCTTGATGTACTCAACTGTTTTCTCAGTGCTGTCAGATCTGCTTCTCGTCAGTTTCATTAGTGCTTGTAGGAGAATCTGATGAGACTCCACTGATAAACCCAGAAGGAACCGCAGGAAAAGATCCAGATGTCCATTTTTACTCTGTAGAGCCTCATCCACAGCTCTCTGATGCAGATCAGATAATGAAACATGTTCCGATGAATTGAGTTGAAACCAGTCCTTAACTTTAGCCCGTAAACTCTGTTTGGTGATGGGCTGCTTCTGTCACATCAATGCCACACTCTCTCAGGTCTTCCTCATAGAAGATCAGGTTACCTTTCACAAGCTGCTCAAAAGCCACTTTACCCAGTTTGAGGATCATGTCTTCATCTGTCACGCCCAATGTGTACTTACACTGTGGTTACATACTACGTACACATCTAGTTACTATGTAAGTACACAGGTATTAGGGCCACTTAATATAAAGTGGGACCTCCTTTTGTTCTGGGTTCAGTAAACTCACTCATACATCTTATTTAGCCCTAAAGGGTGCAAATTGGTACATTAAAGGTACATATTAATACTTAAAGTGTGCATAGTAGGCTATGTAAATGTTTACCATGCCAGTGACAGCTTTTGTACCTTTTTTACTAGAGTATACTGAAGGAATGATGTTAGGATGGATGGATGCAGTGAAACAAATTCAAAATCTTTTTTTTTTTTTTACTTTGCAGTTTGATGATCAGAATGAAGCGAGATTCAGGATCTGAGGAATCTGCACGTCTGTTCACCTTACAAACACTGTATCCAACCTAGAGGAAAATAAATCACAAAGTAAAGGGTCTAAATGCAGATTTTTATGGCTTTTGGCTTCTGGCTTTTTGTCATTTTATGGATCGTGAAGGTGAAGAGAGAATCAAATGGAATAGAGACATGATGCAGGCCAGATCAGAGTCTCACACGGTGAGCATTTGATTGTACAGGGCAGCTGTCATACATGCACCTGCTGTCTGCTCCAGTCTTCTGTCTTTCCCCTTCATTTTACACATTTAGGTTTATAAAGGAGCACATGAATGCAGATTGTGGAAATGTATATTGACAGCAAATACTAATAATAGTACATCATAATACTTGTCTTATAATAAATATAAACACCAAAGTTTGACTGATGTGATGACAGGAGGTCGTTTATAAGTGTGTCAGCAAATACATCTTTCTGATACGTTTTGAGAAAAATTATAAAGTGACATACAGTACCTTGCGTAAGTATTCATACCCTTTAATTTTTTTCACATTTTGTTATGTTGCTGCCTTATGTTAAACTGCTTTAAATTACTTTTTTCTCCACATCAATCTACACTCCATATGCCATAATGGTAAAGCAAAAAACTGAAAAAAAACTTTTTAACATCTTTGCAAATTTATTAAAAATAAAAAACTTAAATGATTCCATTGCATAAGTACTCATACCCTTATCTGGGACAGTTGACATTTAGCTCAGGAGCATTCATATTGCTTGTAAATGTTACTACACTTCAAGTGAAGATAACCTGTGGCAAATTCAATTGAATGGGTATGCTTTGGAAAGGCACACACGTCTTAATAAAAGGTCTAACAGCTGATAATGCAAATCAGAGAAAAAACCAAGCCCTGATGTCAAAAGAACTGCCGTTAAGACCAGAAACAGGTTTGCATAAAGCCACACATCTGGGGAAGATATCAGAAAAAAATCTGCTTCATTGAAGGGTCACAGAAGCATGTAGTCTCTGTTACCCTTAATGGAAGAAGTTTGAAACAACCAGGACTCTTCCTAGAGCTGGCCTCCTGGCCAAACTGAGCAACTGATGGAGAAGGGCTTTGGTTAGAGTGGTGAACAAGAAGCTGATGGTCACTCTAGTTGGGCTCCATGATCATATGTGGAGATAGGAGAAACCTACAGAGGACAAACATCACTGCAACATTCCACAGATCTGGGCTTTATGGCGGTGTGGCAATACTCAATCCTCAATGCACCAAAATATAGAGATAGCCTTAATGCAAACCTAGTCCAGAGCATTCAGAACCTCAGACTGGGCAGAAGGCTCACCTTGTAACAGGGCTAGCTGTTACTAGTTTTTTTTCCTACTCTCCACTAGGGGGTGATGGAAAGCTTAAACCCCAAGTAATTTAACCAGGTAGGAGAGTAGAGGAAGTTAGATTTGTTTGGAAGAGGGAAGCATGGTATTGCCCTCGAAATGCAAATTTCATTGGAGTCCTGATTGAGAAACTTGTTTCCTGTTCAGTCTTGTAAGTTTTGTTTCTCCTCATGTTCTCATGTGCATTTGATCTGCTTGATCTTGATTTTTTTACTTGATCTGCATACTTTAAGTGTGGGCTTTCTAGTTAATGCTAGGTTTTAGTCCAGAGCATTCAGAACCTCAGACTGGGCAGAAGGCTCACCTTGTAACAGGGCTAGCTGTTACTAGTTTTTTTTCCTACTCTCCACTAGGGGGTGATGGAAAGCTTAAACCCCAAGTAATTTAACCAGGTAGGAGAGTAGAGGAAGTTAGATTTGTTTGGAAGAGGGAAGCATGGTATTGCCCTCGAAATGCAAATTTCATTGGAGACCTGATTGAGAAACTTGTTTCCTGTTCAGTCTTGTAAGTTTTGTTTCTCCTCATGTTCTCATGTGCATTTGATCTGCTTGATCTTGATTTTTTTACTTGATTGCACATTTGGGTGCATTATGCAAATATTTCCACATAGTGGGGTAGATATGTGGGGGCGTGTTAGAATGAGCCGTTTTAGGGGGGCGTGGCAGAGTCTTAACTTTGATAAAGAATATCTCTTTGGTTTTGAGACTTTAGTCTTTGCAACTTCAGGGATCTTATCTAGGCACAATCAGCTTGTAACACTCCAAAGAGAAAGGAAAACTTGAAATCGCATCATATGACCCCTTTAAATATTACTTTGTATTTGGTGTTGAGTCTACATGAATTGCAAAGGCTCTACTTTCATGGATGTCAAGAAGACTCTTCTCAATGGATTGTTTGCGCCATATTGACTTGTGGATTATCATATATCCTGAGTACAAGGACTTGACTCTCTGGGCCTTTTTTTATTGGGATTACTTGAAGCGCACTTTAAGGACTTATTGCTATTTTTTGTCTAGGGTTTTCTTTTTCCGCTCATCATCAATGGGACTGTATTTTGGGGATGTGAACATTTACTGGAACACACTGAACTCTGAAGATTCTTTGTAGTTACCATTCTTTCTTTGTTGTATTAATTCACATTATTCTGTAAACCATCTGTGGGTATAGATGTGAAGTACTGTATTGGTTTTCTATCAATTCATTATCTTTTTTGTCTAAAACTCTATATCATTTATAAAAGGTATAAAACATTTAAATTCAGTCTTTGTAGTTTGTGACAACGCACTGGGAGATACACTAAGATTTTTCTAAGCAGTGTAAAATTGGTAGTTGGTGGTGTTACGTTCCGTGTTTATTTATATAATATTGTTGGTTGTTACGTGCTGCTGTGTGCTCTCTCTCTGTCTCTATGTGTTACTGCTGCTCAACCAGGTGCGGAGGAGAGTGAAGTGATCACTCGCACCTGCTCTGTTACACCAAATACACCAAATAATAATCTTTAAAAAAGCATCATATGACCCCTTTAATAATCTACAGGGCTTGTTTGGCTTGTTTTATATAGGGTTTGTCTAAACAGGCTAATAAGAGACAATGAACTACTCTTCCTTACACAAATGTCTCATTAAAAATGTCTACAAATTTACAAAACTGATCCAAGATCAGGTAAAAACCATAGTAGACACTGGTTTAATTGCTAAATGATTCATGACTTCAATGATTCATGGGTCCACAGAGCTCACAACCCCAACTGCTTTAACTACTTAAAACTTTCAGGCTAGGCTTTCTCAAGTTTGTCTTAAGTTATCTATTATAGAGATATTTTCTCAATCACTTTGGCACATTTTTCAAAACAGTCTTAACATTCTCTAATCTGTAAGTGCAATTGTCAAAACTGTTTGCTGGAACATCAGAACTTTGTCTGAACAACAGAACATGTCTGCAAAATGTAATAATCACCCAAAACATTTCATTCATACTTCAAAACCTAGTAACTGTGTCAGTAAATTGGCCAGTAAACACAATCTGTAAATAATTAAGGAAATACTTTGTTTGTCATGATGTGAGCCACACTGGTCAAAATTTTGAATTTTTTTCACCATGTGTTACGTTCCGTGTTTATTTATATAATATTGTTGGTTGTTACGTGCTGCTGTGTGCTCTCTCTGTCTCTGTGTTACTGCTGCTCAACCAGGTGTGGAGGAGAGTGAAGTGATCACTCGCACCTGCCGGTCGTTATTGTGCAGAGGCTGCAAGCTCAAAAGCTTCAACATGCCGACCACACGGAAGCTCGACTTCCAGAGTGCTGTACCTCTTGCCTGCCCTGTGTTGCTCTTATAGTTGACAGAGATTGATACTGTGTAAAACTTACTCAAGTTACGGCTTATTGTAGCCTTCCTAAGAAGTAATTGGCGTTGTTGTTGCGCTACGTGTTTTCTCCGTGTTGGAAGCCGTAGGGAGGTGGGTGCCATTTTGTTTCTGTGAATCTTTTTCTCTTGTTTTTGCTTAGTTAGGGAGTTAGTGTACTTTTCTGTTGTTAATTTTCTTTTGTTTTGTCAGTTTAGACAGTTTTACTCCTTAACTAGTTAGAGGGTCCTTTTGTTTGTTGTTTTGGCCTTTCCCCCTCCTGAAGCCTATTTTGCTTCCTATTATACTTTGTCCTTTGGAAATCTTGTAAATAAAATACTTGATTTTTGGAACTTAACTTGTCTGTTGTGCTGGGCAGGGGACTGGTACTCACTCACCCCAACCAAATGTATGTTTACTTTTCCCTGTTACCCCCTTACCCTAGACCCGTACATCTGGGACGTAACAGTGGGCCCCTCTTGATTTTCACATATATAGCTACATGCCTCTGTAGTGGACGGTGGTTATATAATTGGCGCCCAACGTGGGGCCCGAACAAACTTAATATAGGTCACTGAAAATTTCCCAGTGTTTGTCACAAAAAAAAAGAAAGAAAAAAGCTTGACAATATGGCTAGTCAGGGAGCTCTAGATGGGGATGAGTCCGTACCTGATCCAGATTTCTCATCTGCACCATTCAGCATGCACAGA